ATTTATTCTGAGCTGTCCATTGTATGCCGTGTTTTCCTTCAGAAGTCGTGGTCTTCATAATCCAGTCGACCACCAGAAGAAAGGGGAAGGGAGAGAGTAAACAGCCTTGTCTGACTCCAGTCCTTACTTGGAATGCATCTGTCAGCTGTCCTCCATGCACGACTTTGCACTGTAGTCCATCGTATGAGTTCCGGATAATGTTGACGATCTTCTCAGGAACTCCATAGTGTCGAAGAAGTTTCCATAATGTCCTCCTGTCCACACTTTCAAACGCCTTCTCATAGTCAATGAAGTTGATGTGTAGTGACGAGTTTCACTCAACTGACTGTTCAAGGATGATCCATGGTGTAGAAATTTCGTCAGTGCAAAACCGACCTGTTGATGTCGAGTCTGGGCGTCTGCTGAATCTTTTATCAGGTTCACTCTATTGAAAACTTTTCCTGGTACTGACAGTAGTGTGATGCCTCTGTAGTTCTCACACTTGCTCGGATTTCCTTTCTTTAGCGTCATGATGAGATATCTTTTTTCCAGTCCTTCGGCACTTGTTCTTCTTCCCAAATCTTCTTGGAGAGAAGGTGAGGCATACTTGCAGTTAGTTCTATGTCTGACTTCAGTACTTCGGCTGATATATTGTCAGATCCTGCTGATTTCTCACTCTTGATTTGTCTGGCAGCCATGCTGATTTCTTCGATCTCTAGCGAAGTGACATCTATAGGAAGGTCCGTGTGTGCTGCTTCGATCTCCACTGGATTCACTGGAGTTGGTCTTTTCAGGAGTTCCCCCAGGTATTCTACCCATCTGTTCCTCTGTCCTAGAATCTCAGTGATTGTCTTGCCTTCTTTGTCCTTGACTGGTCTCTCTGGTTTACTATATTTCCCTGCTAGTTTCTTCATTGTGTCACATAGTTGTTTGATATTTCCTTCTCCCACAGCTTCTCCCGTTATCGTTGCTAGGTCTTCGTCGTATTTCTGATTGTCGGCTCTAATGCTCTTCTTCACTTGCTTGTTTGATTCAGTGTATTTGGTATGTGCCTTGACTTTCTCTGTTGTTGTTTGGGTGTCTGTTGCTAATTGCTGTCTTCTTGTTCTTTCATTCTTGAATCTTGGATCCAGGGTTTCGACAGAGATTCATTTCTTATGATGATGCCTGTTGTGGCCCAGCACCTCCTGTTACGTTGAAGTTAGTGCTTCATTGATCTCTTTACGGTTGTCCTCCATAGTAGTTTATCCTTTTTTCAGTAGATCCTGTAAGGCTTGGAAGCTGTTGTTGAGAGTTATGTTGAATTTGTTGAGTTTGTTAGTATCTCGAAAGAAGGCTGTATTGAACTTTGTAATGCTCCTCATCTGCTTCTCACGTCTTCCATTGTCCTTCTGAACTTTTTATTGATACAAATATGATCTATCTGGTTCTCCGTGGTGTGGTTCGGTAAGATCCATATAGCTTTATGTATACGTTTATGTGGAAATATTGTGCCGCCTATAACCAATTTATTGAATGAACTTAAGTTTGTAAGTCTCTCATCATTTTCGTTTCGTTCTCCCAGTCCATGTCGTCCCATGATATTTTCGTATCCGGTGTTGTCTGTTCCACTTTGGCGCTTAGATCTCCCATCAGGATGGTGAGGTCCTTTCTTGGGCACTTCGCTATGATTGATTGCAGCCTCAGATATAACTTATCTTAATTTTTGTCGTTGCTATCATTGGCGGGTGCAATGGGTCCAATGGGTTTCACCGATTCCCAGTACTGCCAAGTTGTATCTCCTCATTTTCGTTGCTACTTCACTGGTCCTCCCGGTCTCACATATTATCCGAACGTTCCATGTACCTATAAAGATTGTTGCACTGGTTGTTAGAAAGAGCATCGGCCTCGTAACTTCCGAAGAATATCGGCTTTCATCCTGAGGTGTCATAATTCTTCCTTCAACTCCCAGGGCAGAGTCTAAATGGTTTAATTTGTCTAATCCGATTGGCGTCTTTTTTAGCAGGATTTTCTTCTACGGGATGAGGTTACCGACCCCATGCCCAACACTCCTCCTTCACTAGCGCTTGGGACTGGCAGTAACTTTAGCAGAGCTACAGGCAAAGTTCAAAGTAAGCCAAGGGTACTTTAATTATAACAATAAACCCACACCTCCTCAAATAAACAGATTCATCTTACTAAAATTATACGGGACAATCTGCTATGAATGTATCAGTGTAGCTAAGCTGGACATGGTGAAAGTAAACAAATACGTCAAAGTTTGGGCTTAAATATTTATGAGGTTTACGCAGATACAATTTGAAAACATTCTGAAATATATTTATAGTACTTACAAATTAAAAGTAGTCCTTAAAAGTCGTGTAAAAATAATATATTTGTTATATTGAGAGCTGAGATTATTAATATACCGAGTACAACTTGAATACTCGAACATTAGAACCCTCCAAATCTCAAATCAGAAAACGGAAGACAAGTAAGAAGGAATACTATTCCAAACAGCGTCAAATATACTACAAAACTCTCAGGTATTCACAGTTGTTTTTTTTTAGTAAAATTGAAACCATTATAGTCATACAATCCTCATACAGGAGGTATTTAGCATTTGTCTAATAGGGAAGCTACACGTAAAGATACTGGAACATTCTTCTAAAAGATGATTCGAAAGAATATCTTCGGCTCTTTCTGAACTCTGTAGAGCTTCGTCGAGTTCACTCGTGTTCCATCCTCACAATACTGCAAGTGCACATAAAATCACCGAATATGTAAAAACATTCAATGAATTTTCTGTTTGCTATTTTCTCCTTTTTCATTGTTTAAACATTACATTCTCAATCCATGTGTGGACTGAAGCTGTTTTGAATAAAGTTTTGCTTAAATCCTATCATTTATTTCTCGACTATTGTTTCTACCTTGAGGTGGTGGTCAGGCTTCCGTATTGTGATGAACTAAACGATCTATACTGACTGGAACAATCGTTCCTCAAGGTTCTACCATGCCAGACAGGTCGGTTGAAGAGCGATAAGACTAAAAGCAGCAAACCCAAAGTCCGAAGGCGAAGTCGTACTACTATTTTTGGTTGTGAATCATCTATCTCTTATAACATGATCCCAGTTTGTGTTTAGTACACCGATCAAGTATCCAGTCTAATAATAATATAAACTCAGTCACCGGTCATATTACCTTAATATGGTAGTAAGCAATGACTAACATTAGTGTAATTATATCTGTCGACAGACATAAGTAATATACACAACAGTTGTATAGGGTATAAGGACGTAATTGACTGACTAGATAAGAGGTAAAACATTCTGTTGAATAATGTTAAAATGATAATAATTAGTTTTAATAACTATTAATTAAGAATAGAAACATGACTATAGTGAACAATAAAAGTTTTATAATTAATTAGAAGTAAAGTCAAATAAACAAGAAGAATTTTAAATAGTTGAAAATGAGGAGAGAGAAAAAAACAAGGAACAGGAAATTATTAGTTAAATGATCCTCAAATACAACACGAAGTATACCAACCCGATCACAATTGATGGCGAAACTCTGAAAGATGTGGAAACTTTCACGTGTCTGGGAGGCATCATCGATGAACAACGAGGATCAGATGCAAACGGAAAGGCGAAGATTGACAAAACAACAACAACATTCCTTCAACTGAAGAACGTATGAAACTCAAAATAACTGTCAACCAATATCAAAGTTCTAATCTCCAATGTGAACGTCAAGCCAGTTAGTTCTACTGTACAGAGCTGAACGTTCGAGAACAACCACAACCATCATCAAGAAGGTACAAGTATTTATAAATAGTTGTCTACGCAATACACTGAACATCCATTGATCAGATACCATCAGTAACATGCTATTGGAGGGGGCGGAGAATAAACCAACTTCCAGTTGAAGAGGAAATTAGGAAAGGACGATGGAAATTGTTGCTCTGGTTGTTAGAAGGGGCATCGGCCTCGTGGCTTCCGAAGGAACTCGTCTTTCACCATTAGGCGTCATAGTTCTTCTAAATGAAGACCTTTTAACTCCCAGGGCAGAGTTTAAATGGTTTGAATTATTTTTTTTCTGGTTAGCGTTTTTTTTAGCTAGTTAGTTTTCTACGGGATGGGGTCGCTAACCCCATGCACGACCCTTCTCCTTTACCCGGGCTTGTGACTGGTAGTAACTCTGAGAGAACTACAGGCGGAGTTACTACGGAATAAACTAGTGACTAAATGTTGACATTGTCCCAATAAATCATGGTTTTTGTTATATTCTAGTGAAGATTCGATTACGAGTAACTTCTGAGAACTAATAATGAATTAATATTACCTATATATTCCTATTATATGACTATTCAGTAACTAGATTGTGTATATCTATATTCCTCTTACTATAAGCTTCATTTTAATTCATAGATTGTTATTATACAATTTACTGCTCATAAGTTATGTTCAGTTTATCGATTACAGTCTTCCATGCTCACAGTCACATTTTGGCTTGATCTTGTATAAATGTTATTTCCTATTCTATGGTGTGATGTGATCTGTTTGGCTAATATATAAATCAAGTATGTTTAAAACAAATGATTCCCATGGTGGAAGCTGTTACTGGTGTTCTGTACTCAATTGGAAAAGCTAGGTAAACAAAAGACCAACAAGGATGCTAGGCTGCCTATACCAATCGAATTTTATTGGTTTGGCACAGTATCAAGGTTTGTGTAAGTCATATTTTGATTGACGAATAAATTACATGTTAAAAAGCCTAGTTTTAAAGTCATAATAGTTCACATATTCAAGATTATATATTTCAATAAAGATGTTAAAACATTAGAAGACTGCTGAAGTATTACAAACAACAAGTGTATATTTAAGAAACTAAATTACTAAATTACATAGTACTATACAACTAATGATTTGTCAAAAGACATAAAACAAAACTTAAAAAGCTTCTCATAGAATAGATTACATATGTGTCTATTATATCTTTTTAGCAATCTTATAGTATAATGTTGCATTGAATCAAATCCTCTATGGATTTAAATCAAGTTCTGTTAATGAAAATAATGGATTTGTAGTTTCAATAGGTTTAGACTCATTTTCAAGAGACAATTTATCTTCTTGTAAACGTTTTATACGATGATAGAAACAATTTTGAAGAAATTTATGATGTTCATTAGTTGTAAGTGATTTAGATGAATCTAATATTGGATGATGTGGCCAAATATATAATTCTTTATGTAGTTTAACATGTTCTTGTATATGTTTTGTATCAATTAAACGATTTTTAATATATTCAATAGGATTATTAGGTTGTTCAAGCATAAGACCACCAATGATAGATTCCACAATACAAAGTATATTAAAATTATCCGCTTTATTTTTCAATGAATAATAAGCGTTGATTTGTGATACCTATAAAATGGATATGGATTTTTGTGACAAAATACTTGAACCATTTGTGTAACGAAAAATGAAACAAAATCAAGATTGATGCTTTTGATCCTGTTTAGGAAATGGTGTTAAATTGTAGGTGAATAGGCTGCTGAGTAATTCTAAAACAAAAAAGATAACAATACAAGATTAGAAAATAATGAGAGGAGAAAAAAATGGATGAAAGTAGGGATTTTACTGAGCACTAATGGAACGTTTGATTTTTTTAGAAAGAAGAACTGGAAGATATTATCGTGTATATACTTGGTGCACATCCTCCTAGGCACCCAGTTAGCGACCAATCTATTATACTTCAACTGAATTTAGATGAAGAACACGCTACTCTCCTGGATAGCACGTATACTATGACAAATAAATGGTGCAGAAAAATATATATAACAGATCATACATATCCAGTCATCCATACGTCTGGTATGTTAAAGCTGGAATTCCGTCTTAAGTTTTATGTTTTTCTCTGTATGATTAGTGGTTAGAGACTTTCAGCAAATTATCTCAAAATCTTTTGCAATGACACTCGTACATTCATTCCTTGTCTTTCTCTTGAATTTGAGTGGCAAAATCTTCTTATAGGCCTTTTATCTTTTCTACTAATACTGATACTATTATTACTCATACTATTCTGGGATTCGTCTTAAAATAATGTTACCTCACTGTGCTAGTGTGGTGTGGCAACTTGGAATGATGTATAGATGTATCAAGTCTTACATCGAGTAGACTGGCTGACTGACTGACTTTGTAGGCATCTATATCACAATATGCTTCCACACTTATAAATAAAAGTGAAACAGTTACGACGTCTTGTTAATCATTCAGAAAAACAAAAAATTTGATAAGTCGCGTCAATTCATTTAGATTTTCATCAATAATACACCTGTTAATCTATCTTTAAACTATATTTTCTCCAGATGCTCGATTGAATATCCAAGTACAATTTAATGCCGGATCACAATCGTATTAATGAAATATTTTTAATTCTGGGATTAAGTACATACTTTGTTTTTTACTTCAAATGAATATGATAACCCAAAGTTAAATGATTATACATAAAACTCTTGGAACTTATGCATACATGTTTCTTACTTTCAATGGTACTCTCTTAATCAAATTGTGAATTTACAACTTACTTACGCATATATGTTTGTACAGTTTGATAATTGATCTCAGAAAGATACTGATATTTTAGGTAGATTAGAATTTGGTGGCATTCAAAGATTTTTAAATTTATTTGAAAGTATTAACCCCGAAATATATAATTTTGTAATTAATTAGAACATGAAGTTGGCAGAAAATAAATTTATAAGAGAAGTAAAGATAAACTGCGAAGTGATTGTAGCTTTGAAAATCATCATTACCGTAAAATGAACCAGGCATTTCCTACAAAATACTTGAGCTCCTGACTAATCGATAAATCAGTGACACACTTTAAGTTATTCTGTTATGGTTGCTTTTATATTCTGTATTTTAGCTCTGTATACGTGTTGGAAGCGTATTCACTTAATTTATCACATAACACTTGCAATTCCAAAATACCTTCACATTTTGTGAATTTACTGTCTCATTTTTCACTCGTCACTTCTGTAATTTGTGGAATTAACTGAGTCAATAGTTAACAGAATTCAATGGTTTTTTTATTCAGTTGAGTGATTTTTACTCATGTCATTCTTATTCCCTATTAAACTGTTTGAGAACTAAGATGAATTGATCGTTACTATTTTTAAACCACCTGCATGGTTTCGCCTTCAATCGGTAAGTCATATGCAACGTAAAGCCAACAAATGTATAGGTACAGCATCCCATAACACATTAGCACAACGGAATAAGATTATTAAGAACATGTCTCAAGGTGTTTTAACAACTCGTCGATGATAAATAATCAACGTTTTGAGGAATAAAATAACTCTGTTGTAGTGAAGATGCTCTTGATACAAAATAAACGAAAACTGTAGGTATTTGTATGCTTCAAGCATCATGTTCAGATGGCAAACAATGAAGAAGATAGTTCTTAGGAGAAATAATACATTGGAATGAGGGAGGAAATAAACGGAGCTGGGACATCTAATATCAATATCCAGTTGTAAAGAAGGGACATACATGTGCCATGCAGGGATGATGATTGACTGTGTGCAATCAACTAGTGATGCAAATCAAATCTGGACGAGGCAAGATTTTTAAGAATTTAGAACCACTGTACTTCGTCACTGCCTTCGTGCCTTTAGATACAGCGAGCTTTGCCAATTCACCTGGCAACAACAATCGAACTGCTGTCTGCACTTCTCGGCTTGAAATTGTCAACTTCTTGTTATAGTGAGAGTCGATTGGCTTCTGTGGCAATGCGCTCAAAGATATCGTTCACAAACGAATTCATGATCGACATTGCTTTCGACGGGATACCAGTGTCAGGATGAACTTGACGAAGAACTTTGTAGATGTTGATAGCATAACTCTCTTTCCTACTGCTCTTCTTCTTCTTATCGACCTTCGGCAGTTTAAACTTAAACGCTTTCTTCGCGGCCTTACCAGACACAACATTAGGAGGCATCACTTTGTAGACGCATACAGGACTAACACAAAGCGATTTATTCTGACGAGCAATGCGCCAGTACAAGTATAATTATAAATATCAGCATTCATGACGAATGTTACGTTAGAAATATTTCCGAAGTAACAATGAAATTTTTTATCCAACAAATCGGATATATATACGTGCGAAATAAAATATCAGTAATCTTCACTTACGATAGTTTTATGGCTTATAATATGTTAGAATATATATTTACGATACATACATGAATTAAAATATGTTAACATATGTTAACATTAATTTTAATGCAAAGCGATCAGATCGGATCTCGATATTTTTTAACCTGCGCGATCAAAGTATTAAGCAACACTATGTACGTTTTGAGAAAGACGTAGTGAAATCCAAGCTTACTTTACTACTCTGTCGAAGTAAGCGAATCTAAGTACATAAATCCACCAAAACCAGGATATTATTGTTATTTAAATATTTCTTGAGCTTTATTGTCATAACAACCGTTCAATGAACAATAGAAAATATATAAACAATATTCTCATAATAACCCAAGCTGCCAGCTTTGGGTAAATTTTGGGGAAATCCCCAAAGTGAAAAACCTTCCCCAATGTTTGGGGAAATTTTAGGGATTTCCCTAGGTCAGGGGAAATTTTGAGTTTTTAGTCTCATTTCCCCAAAATTTACTATAGCGGCTTCCCCAAAATGGACCAAATTTTCCTCAAAGTTGGCAGCTTGGGAACCTATTACGAATGACTTGATCCTTTCACTAGAGCATGTTGTTGTTGAACGCAATTTTTAAATCTTGATGATAAGTTGACATTAAATCTGAAAATATATTGGTAGTGCAAAGTGAATGAGATAGTTCTAAAGAGGCCACACGTATTATTGGTTTGACAACGCCTTTACTCATAGCACATTTAGAATCGAAGTGTGCCAACCTAGTCAAATCCGAGGTCAGAAACGGAATTCGAAGTTATATTTGGAAGGTTATCGGTATGTCGATGGAACGCTTAATCTAAACTTGCTAACAGTTGAAAAGGATGGGTAGCATGACGTATTCACTCGTGATCTGATACGGATGCGTGACCAAGCACCTTCAGCTATATGTATCCACTAAAACTAAAGAGGTCAGCATCCATCTTGAATACTTACAGAACTACTTGTTTTGGGGATTTATATACAACCGCATCTTCCTTCATCCTTAGTGAGGTAGTGATGTCCCTAAGACATGACCAGTCAGAGGTTTAAGCTTAACAGTCTTGTCGTTTGTAGGCACTTCTAATAGCTCTCTATATTCGGCAACATCTATTCGTCTTTCATATAAGGAGCCATGTGGTATCATATAGCAATGAAAAAAGTACGATTAAAATGCCTATTAATTTAAATTTCATCGTTTCCAGATGTCCTGGAAAAAAAAGGAATTAAATGAAACTACGATTTGATTTCAGCAGATGACCTGGCTCTTTTATCCCATAAGCACCAACAAATGAATGTGAAGACAGACCGTGTAGCAGTCGCCTCTTCATCAGCAGGCCTCTACATAAAAAAAGAAAAGACAAGATCCCCAAATACAACACGGAGAGCAACCGAATCACAATTGGTGGAGAAACTCTTGGGGAGGTGGGATCTTACACGTAGCAAGTCAGAACCATTGATGGACAAGGAGGATGCGATGCAGACGTAAACGCAAAGATTGGCACAGCAAGGGCAGCATTCCTTCATCTGAAAAATACATAGGACTGAGAACAACTGTCAACCAATATAAAAACCAGAACATTCACTACGAACGTCAGGAAATTTAGTTCTTCTGTACGGAGTTGAAACTTTGAGAACTACCACGACCATTATCAAAAACATACATGCGTTTATATATAGTTGTCTGCGCAAGATCCCGAATGTCCTTTGACCATAAACCATTAGAAACAGCCTAATATGGAAGAGAACAAACCAGCTTTCAAATGAAGAGGAACTTAGGAAAAGACCATGGAAATGTATAGGACATACATTACGCAACTCACTAACCCGCATCTTGAAGCAAGTTCTAAAATGGAATCCTGAGTTGAAACGGAGAAGAGCAAGGTTTAGTGGCCCGTGGATCTGACTCCAATTAGGTCGCATGAATGTTTGTTATCACCTATCCTCGTATATTATCATCGACTTAAATCGCGTTATTCAAAAACGGAATTACATAAGTCGAATAACGAGAATAGACTTGTGAATGCATATATTTTGTACATAAGGCAAATGGAATAGAGAGAAGAGAAAGAACGCGGAGTGGAGATGGCTGGTAAGCCAACTCCCATTTAACCAATCGTTAATCAATATTTGTAGTTACACAAAAGTAAGTTACAGACATGTGATGAGTAATGAAATAAGAAATGTACACACACCTACGCGCTCATATAAAAACAGTCAAGATTGGTAAGCGAATAATTAACGAGATCAGAATGTGACTCGAGTAGAATGAATAGAATGGGCTGTCCGAAAGCTAGAATAAGGTATATGGGCTTAGCATAATAACCAACACTACAAAGGCTAAGTGACACACTGTGCCGAGAATTGGAAGCAAACACGGAAAGGATTTCGCAGGACAGAGTTGAATGGCGAGTGCTTGTGGTCGGCCTATGCACCTGGACGAGGGGTAACAGATGCGACTAAGTAAGGGTAGTCTTGGAACTGAGCTGAAAACATTCGAATATATCGAATACTTTGAATCGCGACTTGACACCAAGAGCCGAATGCGAAGAAATTAGCTGACACTAGTGTGTCACAAGCATATTGAATATCGAGTTGTTGAAGTACAAGTTACCGTTCGTTAGCGCCAATCTAGAATTCAAAGTCATAAGTTGTAGTCGACTTCATCAGGTTCCCCAGAAATGCCTGAAACTGATGCAGGTATGTTTTATAGTGCCATAAAATATCTTGGAACCTTTGAGTGTTTTTGCCTTGCAACCATTAGTTGGTTCATGGATTCACTGTAAGGTAGTTTCATGTCGGCATACCGCAAGGTATCAGGCATGGATTACTTTCTCTTAACTAATTCACAACATATGTGACGCATATGTCATTTAATCACCTTCCTCAAAATGACCAAAACAGACTGGTCAGACTCGCATTTTACTAGTGGGTAGTTACTAAGCCGTATAAATCGGTCTTTTAAAATAGGAAGTTGGACGTTGGGTTTTTTACACTTCTCAACTCAGTTGCTACCTTTATTACATTCGAACAGTCTCTGCCGGTCTGTATATTTTGTCAGAGTCGAAATAAGGTGATGGAAGCTTAGTTTCAGGATGTGGTTGGTGAACTGAGCCCTGTTAAATGGTGCGGACGTCTCACTCTGCTTAAGTCAGTGTTGTTTAAAGCATCACGTAACATGGTTGTAAGTGGTTTCTTTAACTTTTTCTATTCGGAACTGCAAATCCAATGTCTAGTCTGCCACTAGTTCTAGTATAATGAATGCTCTACTTTTGATCTGATAATCCCCTCATTACTTCTCTGATGTGTTGTTGGAATTAAGTGGGTGCATAGTGGAGTTAAGTACCGTGTTGATGGTGGTTTACGAGATGCATGCAATGAATTTTCGCTGAGTTCTTATGCAAAAAAATATATGGGACTTCTAGAGTAAACACTTGACTCCTCAACTACTTACTGAAGTATTTATTTATTTATTTGAACACGTAAACATTGGTATGAGGCACCAAATAGATATGCGCCACATAAATCATTCGATTTGTGTGAGGGGTGCGATACTGCTCGGGTGCCCAGACCGAAGCAGGTGGTTTTCTTAGTTTTCAGCTTCGCCAGTGGTAGTTTGTGCATATCAGGTTTCTGTGTATTTAAGTTGAGAATAATATATCGAAAGTCTAGCAAATTTTTAGGATTTCTTTTATTAACTATCTTACAGTCTAATGTGGCTTCCGCTTACATCTGATCTGTTCTGCTTTAAATGTAAAGCATCGCCGTTTAGAACTGAGGATATTTGTAGATCACTAGTGCTCAACCGTTGGTGTCTCCAAAGTGTTGGTTGTACTTGTTGGGGCTATCAACTAGGCAATTTTGAGATTAGGCATAGGGTGCTAAGTAAAGGTTGCACATTAGTTGGTAAGGCAATAAATATTTGTCAGATAGGGTAGTTGGGACATGTTATACGTACCTCCTACTTCTATTGGCGATACTGTTTGGCTTATTAGGTTTAAAGAAAGCTATAGGCCGATAATTCAAAACAGCAGTTCGTGAAACCATTCTTTGTTGGACTGAACCATGTACAGACGATCAGTTTGAGTTTTACACAGTTATTGCAACCAATGGTTAGATACTTGCCGATATAACTCATAATAATTCGCAACAGCGCAGATGCACTTACTATGTATTCCCTTAGATTCTGAATCCGTAGATGGGCGAGACTATAATTTATGGATGAATCAATCAGATTTGGGATTACATTAATCTCATTTCACTGTGCTTATGTTATGTGACAGTTTTAACTGATGCATATATGTGCCGAGTTTTACGTCGCATGTGATATTTACCGACTAGAGTTTACTTTGGTTTATTTAGTCGAACGCATACAGGAATATTTTCAGACATCACATTATATATAATCTAACCCGTTGATATACGATTGACCGTCGGTTCACCTCACTTTTATTCTGTGCAGGTTACGAAGATGGTGTGGAAGAACGTGTTATTAATGAAGAATATAAAATTTGGAAAAAGAATACTCCTTTCCTGTATGATATGGTTATGACTCACGCCCTGGAATGGCCAAGCCTTACAGCTCAATGGTTACCTGAAGTCACAAGGTAAGCTATCAGTCGTCTATTAATCACGTCCAATTTCTTGGTTGTTCAAAGTATGGGATAGCCCAATTGTGTATAATTACTATCTTAAGAACTCAGCGTCCTTGTTGATTCCTTACTGTTAAATAGCATGCTTGTGCCTGTTCGAAAAGTATGTAGATAAAATATATAGACTTGCAGTTTATTTCAGAAACTATATTGACTAACCAGACTTCATAGAAGATAGTAAACCTATTAAGATTTAAAAAAAGGTTTAATTTCTCCCGTTTATCAGTATCGGAATAAATCTCAAACAAATTAAGCGAACTAGACGGTGAAAAATAATTCACAGGTGATAGGACTACCAAAATTTAAGAAATCCATCGATTCGTATGTGTGAGGCGGTGGCTTAGTGGTTAAAGCGTTCGACTTCCAGCCACTAACTTCCTGGCTCGAACCCCTCTCCACCTAATTCTGTTTGGACAGCCAAGTAGTGGTAGTCGGTGCATGAAAAGACATCGTCTAACATGGTGTTCCTTTGCACCAAAACCAGTGATGAACTCAAATAGACCATATCACCATCAGTCATCGTTGAAGAGGCTCAATAGAAGATTGTTGCTCGTTCTGGAGTACATGTTTAGACTCTGATAATGATTTAATACAAGCACGAATTTGCTTGCGCTCCACTGGACTCAGGAAAGCCACACTAAGAAGACCCGTTAGTGCTGAACTCAGCGATGAGAAAGCTCAAGGTAAATTCCAGGAACAACTGAAGTCACACTTAGGTAGTTCTGAAATCGAGGCTGACCTAGATGTTACTTAGAAAGATATACAGATAGTCGTGACATCTATTAATAATTTGAACCAAAGGGTTATGAAAAATCAATGAATTTCTATTGTACTGATAGATTCTCGTAAAATCATCTCATCAGGCTCTGAACACGATAACGAACGAACACAAATCAGATCTAGGCTAACCAAAAGTCTAAATAACAATCATGAACAGTTATGCGTTCCATTCGTGTATCTTCGATTTTTGTTCCATGTGCACTCCTAAAATATCATTAGAAAATGGACTTTTTCTGCCATCATGATCATTAAATCAACATTGTCATACTTATGAAATAATTTTTTTGATAATTTATGTTGGAAATCTAATTATACTTCTGAGTATCATCTGTGTATGAATTCTTGATATAACATTCTCCGTTCATTAGAAATAAACACATAGTATGTTTATACATGGGCATTATTCAGATCTAATTGTCTACTTATTATTCATATATACTTTCATAGACCAGAAGGTAAAGATTTTTCTATTCATCGACTTATCTTGGGAACTCATACATCTGATGAACAAAATCACTTACTTATTGCTAGTGTTCATATGCCAAATGATAATGCTCAATTTGATCCTAATAGTTATGATGTTGAACGTGGTGGTAAGTTGAATTGATTTATATAATGTAGTCTATGATTAAATTATCTTGAAATTGTTTGCTCGAAGAATCATTGGAATGAAGTAGTATAGTGTCCCGTTGTGTATGAATCAGTCAGGTTAATTAGTAATTATCATCCTTTAATTTTTCAGATTTCATAGATTGTGAAGTTATTTGAGCACCTCTACCACTACGGGATTTGAATCGACAACTGTATCTCTGTGCTATTGTGGTATGGCAACTCAAACTGATGTACGTACGTACGAAGTTCTACGTTGTTACTGACTGACTGAGCATGTATTTCGAAGCGGAGACTTAAGGGACTATGTGAAGTTAACATTGTTCTGTATCTTGTGAAGTCTCAACTGTTGAAAACAAATTACTAAACGTGATAGACTTTGAATCTATAACAAGTCGGTTTAAAAATCTAATGCTTTAGCTACTATGTCAAAGCATTTTCTAAATAATAACTATCCATACCAGCAGATTTTTTTGGTGGAATTGCTGGTGTGTTTTCGTATGTCTTTTACTCGAATAGTTGAAAGTCATATTAGTGAAAGTACATTAATTACTTCTTATTTGATTCTATCTCTAATCATATTAAGTGATTGATTCACTTATTGATATAGGACACGCTGATAATAGCCTCATTTGTTGAATAAACCGGGAAAATATAGTCTTTTGATTACCTTAACGAACAATGCAAGTATGCGTGGAATACATTTTTCACCTTTGAATACAAGTCTATGTCGTCGGCTAGATTAATTGCAGGAAGTAAAGTAGTTGAATGCGTTAATCATCACTTATCCTGAGGGGTCCTTTTTACTCTGATGAGTTGGTATCTAACGAAATCTTGGCAAGGGTTTGGAAAGCTCTCTTAACTTTTGTCAGCTTGCTTCACTTGTATTGTAGGCGAAATATTCTTCTACTTTACCTTAAGGTTGCGAAACATGATTTGTGAAAGCAAAAGATATGCATAGGTTACAGGTTTTTAATCATATTTATCTTTAACCATTCTCATATCGTGAAATGATCGAGTGAGAATTGCTGCAATGTTAAGCAATAGGGTACCTGACAGTCGGTTGATAGAGTTATCAAACTTCATCAACTGAAGTGGTTGGGACATGTATTTTGTACGGCATCAACGCACTGTATTGGGTATTGTAGGAAAAAAGCTTTAGATCGTCAAAACATTACATCAGTTACTGGTTTTTGATCTGAGCTATGTTGATAGATGCAGTCTACCCGGTTGTTTTCCGCACGACTAGCATACCCAGTTATTAGGGACGTTAGGTAACATAGTTCTGCATCAATTTCAAAATCATGTTATATATTTCATTTCACTAATTTACTCATTTTTTCCCATCCTGTTTTTTTTAACATCACTAATACTACTATTGTTTCTCATTTAGACTCCTGTATATTAGTCTTGTTAATTTCATTTCACCCTGTTGTGGTATAACATCTTGTGTAAACGTACACATGTTCCCAGATTGTACGTTGATTATGATTGGTTTTACTAGTGAATGTGGTGTTCTTGTCGAGTTATGTTTAATACTCGATGATATGTCCACGCATTCTAAACTCACCCACTTTAGTATTCACACAAGATCTTAACACCAAAGTAAGAGTATATAAACTTTTAGTTAGTTATTATGTTACACTATCCATTTAATTGATTCCATTTCAACATCCAGATTAAAAATGAATAACTTTTCATAAATCCATTTTTTTCCACACAAAAAAAAATCAGAGTTCGGTGGGTTTGGTGCAGTAACCGGTAAAATTGAGATCAATATAAAAATCAATCACGAGGGTGAAGTAAATCGAGCTCGTTATATGCCACAGAATCCATGTGTAATCGCTACTAAAACGCCTAGTTCTGATGTTTTGGTGTTTGATTATACCAAACATCCAAGTAAACCTGATCCATCTGGTGTATGTCGACCGGAATTACGTTTAAGAGGGCATCAAAAAGAAGGTTATGGTTTATCATGGAATCCAAATTTAAATGGTTATTTGTTGTCTGCGTCGGATGATTATGTACGTTTATTATCTTTTCTTATTTTCTGTTCCATGTAGTTTTGTTTGTGGTAAAACAAACTTGAATTTGTTATTTATTTATTGTCCTCACATATAAGTTGGTAAAAGGAGAGTTAAACGGGTAAAAAGCGAGGACATGTAGTTCTTATCTGTTTTCACTGAGTCACGTAAATTATTTATTTATTTAAACACATAAACATTGGTACAAGGAGGCACCAAACAGATATGCGCCACATAAGTCATTCGATTTTTATGAGGGCTGGGATACTGCCCGGGTGTCCAAACCGAAGCAGGTGATTTTCTTAGGGGGTCACACCTGGAGCCTTTGACTTAAACGTCTAATCCACAATTCAGTGGAACAACGTTTGAAGGTGCAGTCTTTGGGTAGCCGGTGACCAACAATTGGTTCAGACGCCATTTGTTCGCTCAGGATACTGGAGTGCATATGCACCATTGGTTTGGAATCAGTGTTTTCCAACTCCCCTAGGTGAATCCTCGACATCCACCAACCCCTGTTAAAGCGTCAGGCATTCGCTTTTCGTTTGTGGAGGGGCATGCTTCTTGGTTAGGATTTTATTTATTATTTTGTATGTATAAATTCCCATTAAAATTAACATTAATTTCCCATCTTCTTGGTTTTTTTTCTCACTGTCTTGGTATTAGCTGTGGTAAATTAAATCCGTCACATTCCTTCCAGTTGTTTATGTATGTCTGTCTGTCTGTAATCTCCCGTTTTAACTTCAAATTCATCATGCGCTAAGAAGTATCCGTCATGATCACTTTAACTCATCAACAACGAAACTGGATAGAGTTTATTCTCAACAAGATGTTGATTAGTCAGCTTTCTTTCTTTCCCTTAACCTAACCTATTTCGATGTTGAATCGTTCGGGGGAAGGGGATAATCCCACGACTTAGTTTTTTTTTGTTTGCACACGATGCCAATCTTTTCCTCCATTTTACTCCAAATCTGTGCCACTCTACTTTGTAAAATTTGATGAATTTAATCATTCTTGTTAGATTAATCTATTACTTGATGGCAAACGATAACTTACTCCTCAAAGTGCCCGTCTTTAACTGGTATGTCACAGGCTCGAGTCTCACCTTATCTACTTCAGTTCAATCGGCTGGATATTGCCATTCACAGACGAGTATATGAAGTCTATACTTGATAAACAGTTAAATTAGACAAATACTATACTCAGATACTTAATTTCTAACATAAAATGTTGATAGTATTTCATTTTCACTCCTTTAATGATGTCATTAGAATCTCTTTTAGGTTTCATTATTTCGTGTTGAATTGATCGAGATCCGTTGTTTTTTTCCCTCAATAGAATCGAACAATTTATGTATATTCCCATTTTATTTCCATTTATTATAGACTATTTGTATGTGGGATATTAATGCAACTCCAAAAGAAGGTCGTATTATAGACGCTCAAACTATATTCACTGGTCATACAAGTGTTGTAGAAGATGTCAGTTGGCATCCATTACACGAATCTATATTTGGTTCAGTTGCTGATGATAAAAAACTTATGATATGGGATACACGTAGTGGTTGTACAACACGTCCTAGTCATACAGTTGATTCACATTTAGCTGAAGTTAATTGTTTATCATTTAATCCATTTAGTGAATATATATTAGCCACTGGTAGTGCTGATCGAACTGTTGCACTATGGGATTTACGTAGTTTACAAATGAAGTTACATTCATTTGAATCGCATAAAGATGAAATATTTCAAGTAAGTTATTTATAAAAATTAACGGTTGTTTCTATACAGAACAAGCTTATGAAGAAAAGTTAATGGATTAATTTATTTGTAACAACCGATGTTGTTATACCCCTCAGTTGTACATATTAACATTTAGATATAAAACATTAGCATGACTCGTACACAAAAATGACATGCAAAATTATAGGCTATTTCATATTTACACTTAAGCGGTAGCTTAATGGTTAAAGCATTCGACTTTCTTCCATTAAGTCCCAGTTTTGAATCCCACCCTCACCTACTTCGGTTTGAGCAACTGTGTTGTATCTCTAGCTCTCATGTACTTGCAGTTTGTTTTACAAATAAAAATACAATTAAATGTATTATAGTGACTAGAATATCTGTATAATGGATCACATTGAAATAATCAATACAAGAAAAGAATATACTGAGAATCAGGTAACCAGGTACAATTGAAATGCACTGAGAATACGTTTAAACGTTGACTAGGCGAAACTAATCTATGAAATTAAGATTGTTGATTACTTCTTTATACCGTTGTACTTGGAGAGATTGCATCCTTCCTCACTAACTCTCTCATTAGTACAGTACACTGGTTTTTAGTGACCACAGCAGATACTGTATTTTTCGATGTACAATACGTTTACAGATAGAATAATTGGTATTTGTCATTTCACTGATTCTTTATCACTATATAGGTTCAATGGTCACCACATCATGAAACTATTCTTGCTAGCTCAGGTACCGATCGACGTCTACATGTTTGGGATCTTAGTAAAATTGGTGAAGAACAATCAGCTGAGGATGCTGAAGATGGACCACCGGAATTACTGTTCATTCATGGTGGACATACAGCGAAAATTTCAGATTTTTCATGGAATCCAAATGATGCATGGGTTATTTGTTCAGTATCTGAAGATAATATATTACAAGTGTGGCAAATGGTATGTTTTCTCTTATTGTGAGAACTTATCTAGTTTATAGCATAGTTGGGTTTTGAATTGCCCTGTTTTTTGATACTCAGGATTAAATTCTTCATCTGTCTTTTAACATGTATGCGTCCTATACAGCTATTTTATCACACACCATCATGGATCGGTTGTAGCCAGCAGTGAAAACAAGGATGCGCGTCTTGTCATAACTGAAACTCGTCAGCCGTTCGTACCTGCATACCAAGGTTGACATTCACATTAAGAGTTAAACCCAATACCTTTCGATTCAAAGGCCAATGGTCTGTGTACTCAACGGGTCACCGACATTGCCGTGTTACAAGTGGTTGAAAAAATTGGTTGTTTTAATCTCACCATTATACTTTCTTACCACTATCAAGCAATCTAAAGTACCTAACGAAAAGTCCTAAACCTTCAGATTTATTCTTATCCAATGTACATATAATCTGGACTGATTCTACTAATGTGATTGAGATCAGTATCATTATCCACCTTTTTTGAAAATTGGGAATGTTACTACTGACAGGATCTATCATATAATGGTCTCTGAGTGATTAAGGTGTTCAACATTCAACCATTAGGTAGAAAGTGCGAGTCTAGACCTACATGTTTCTGTTTATGCATCCGGGTAGTAGAGTAGTAATAGTAGTAGTACCAGTGGTATCATTAGTTCTCACGCATAAAATGTAAGTCGAAAAGCCTATTACACAAATCTGTACAAATTTTTGGATGAGTTATATTAGACTACTCGATAGTGAAAGAGAAACGTGTTGTAACTCAACTAATTCAGTATTTGCATATTACTCTGTGTTTATTATTTCAGGCTGAGAATATTTACAATGATGAAGAACTTCCACTGACCATTGAAAATGAATAAATTTATATTCAATGTGCATTTCAAACTTTTTTCCCATTTTTTTTTATCTACACATCACTACTATCATACTTATTTACTAAATGAAAAATAAGAACAACTTATGTAACTAATCTGATGTTTTCTTTTGAATAAAAAAACATCGATAACTGTATCTTTGTTTAGAGGATAGTTCCCATTTCATACAGTAATATTATCAGTTATTAATCACAAAAAGTATGTTGTTCCATCATGTTGACTAATCTACTCCACAAACTGATTACACCATTTGATAGACGTATTCCAGGGAGTTGGATAAAACACAGTTCTTGTGATTTATTTGTGTTGGTTGCTTCAATCTTGTAAATGATCAGCCTATGTGTATACTGTGTAGAGTGCCATCAAGTCATAGGCATTATAAGCAGACATGGATGGTGATTAGCAGTAGAATCTAGAACAAATCTTCCGTCCTATGGGTCATGTCTTTCATATTGTCAGCATGTTTTGCTAACAACTTATTACACAGAAAAGTGTTTATTGAATATGTTCTTAGGACTGCTATATGGAATTACCACATGTCAGATATTTTGATTAGTTGGCAACATCGCTCTATCATGTGTGAATACTTGCCCTCTTAGGATCACCAAGTTGAATATGAGTAGAGGGGAAATGACTGGTTTGTGATACAGGCTAAACAAGTATTAGGCGGAATTTAAGCCCGACAACTTATTGAGGAGAATATCACCTTTTTATTAATAAGTAACAGATATATAGTAAGTTTTAGGGTTGAAATCGTTGATAGAACTAGAGAAATTTACGGAGAACTGTTCGGATATAATTATGTCCCATGTGCCGTAAAGTATTGAGGTATTCTCATGATGATAAGACGTGTCTTCTAAAACTATAAACAACCCTGAGAAACCAATGATAAAACTGTAAGAATAATTTTTATTCCTCAATAATCACATAGGACTCTACAGGGATGTTTTATTCGATATGGAATATATAGTTACGCTCATTAAAATGTCAGAATGAGCTCCTTTCTAGCGCACAACTACTTATGTCGAAATATGAGGCAAAAGGTTTTAGACCATTAGTCGTTGGTAGCAGATCTGGTAAGAATGTGTAGCGATACAAGTTTTCATATATTGAACTTACGCGACTATACTCCGTAAGCCAGCTTTTTCAAATTGAGAAATCACAGTTAAAAATGGTTCACAATTCAAGTCATTGATCATTCGTAGACGGCTTTAGGTCTTATATGAACGCATGTGGAACGGTGTTTATGGAGACAAACCAATTGTTGCACCCATTTTAGTGATATCAATAGTCCTTATGTTTAAGCTGTAACTCGAAACAGAGAACACATTTGTACTTCGTTGTTTAATGGAGCGAGTTTCCACAGCTCAAAATAGTGATAGAGGAGGTTAGTGACATGAGAAGTAAGGGGTAAAAAATGTCATAAATGGGAAATCTAGAAAATAAGATGGTTTATGGCTAAGAATTTAAAAGATGAAGAAAACGCTGGGTTCGCAATCACTTATTGTTTTCATGCATCATCTTTATACAGCTTTATTAATTGCGATCCGTTTCAAATAACGTTTTTGTTGTCTATACATCATACATAGCTTTCCTACTGTAAGAATGTTTTTGATCAACTTCCTAAACAATTCCACTTCCGAAGAAAAGTATACTGTAAGCATCATTTTATATTAGTTTAGATTTGTGAAAAGAAGATGTAGAATAACTACTTCCAAGCAGTATGCTAATGATCAGAGAGTTTGACTTTCCGCCACAACTACTTTGGTTTAATTAGCTGGGTAGTATCATTAGTCCTCACTTAAGGTGTAGCTCATAGCCAAGCACCTGGTAGATGAATTAATTTAATTGAAATAATCTCGCTTCTCAACTATTGAATTACAGGTATATACAAATAATTTACACTTCAAACTAAGTAGCAATACACTAATATCATGTATCTTCAGTCATAAACAGCGTAGAACCTGAGATATAGGTGCTTCGGTTCAAGCTGTCACATAACGTCAACATAGTTAAAATGAAATTGTCAAGATAAATGCCAGAGTACTAAATGTAGCAACAGTGTTATTATTAATAGAAGAATAGAGATAGACAATGCGATTTGGAGGGAGGAAAAGTATCAGATAATTTTAAAACTAAGATAAGACAAAGCGAATATATTTACGTCATTAATACCGATTCTGAGTTATACAACCACATAACATATACGCAAACGTTCTAGTTTAGAGACAAACAACCCGACTGTTGTTCATAGTTATATAATATACCCTTGTGGGCCAGGATAATTTTACATTAGTTTTCAATAGAATCAGACACCATCCAGACTTTCACGTGACAACCCAAACAGTACAGCTCAACCCCGTTTAACAGGAGAGCTAGAAACCGCCCAGGCTCAAATTTTATAAACCGAGCAGTACATCTCAATCCCGCTTTACAGGAGAACCAGACACCGTATAGGCTTCAACGCTACAATCTGAATAGTACCGCTCAATCCTGAGGCACAACTATATAGGTACCAAGCACCCTGATGGACTAACGAATGTTGTAATATATATATATATAAGGTATGTTTATAAAAGAAATATATATTTCAGGTCTCAGTAGCTGAGTGGATGAGTGTTATATCTAGAAGGTTGTTCTTGATATACCGAGTATAACATGAGTACTAGAACGCCAGAACCCTTCCAAGTCGCAATGAGAAGAGAGAAGACTAATGGAAGGAATATTATTACCAGACAGTGTTAATTATAGTACAAAATTGTCAACTCTGAAATGCAGGTACATTCAACTGACGAGTCCCAAATAGGACGAGGCACGCGTTCTAGATTCCACTTTTTTAAATATTATTTGAACACATAAATATTGATACAAGAGGGCACCAAATATATATGCGCCACACAAATCTTATTTGATGTGTGAGGGCTGTGATACTGCTCGGGTGCCTAGACCGAAACAGGTGGTTTCCTTAGGGGGCCACACCCGGAGCCTTTGACCTGAAGGTCTGATCCACAAGGCAGTGGAGCATCGTAAGAAGATGTAGTCCCATGGAAGTCGGTGACCTACAATTGGTTCATAAGCCATTTGTTCCTTCAGGATACTGGAGCCCATGTGCACCATTAGTTTGGAATCCGGTTAAATCGTCGGGCATTCGGCTTTCGTCCTTTCAATTTCGTAAACAACACTCGTGGTGAGAGAAGGCAGTGAGTAGAACTTCCCTGGCAGAGGCTGTGTACGCCTGACCGTGTGAGAGCATTTCAAGAGGGTGGGTGGGCCCACTCCACTCTCGGCCATGCCAGGGCATTTAGAGGCCTAGATTCCACTACTAGTCCCTATCCACCTTTGTTTATAAAACTTGTGGATGAAAGCAATACGCACAAGATGGCACATATGCCAATACCAAACTGATCTATTTGCAATGTTAAACATCAATGGGAAGATTCAAGCAACAAGAATAACAACAACAACAATAATATCAAATGAATTTATTTCTATATAAAACATACACACCTACATCTATTTATTTCTTTTTTTGTTTACGTTCTAATTTATTTTGTTCATCAGATTCATGAATTAATTTAATAAATTTTGGATCTTTTTTACTTGGATAAAAACCGAAACGATCTCTTGCCTAAACAAAAACAAAAACAAACATTCAAATATGATTCATATAATAACACTTACCTCTTCCATAAACATTTTCATTTTATCCTTTTTTATATTATTCATAGATAATTGTTTCTCTTCTTGATTATGAAATTTTTTTAATAATTCAGGCATTTTATTTAAATTTTTCTTGATTTTTAACATTCTAAAAAATTGAAAATTAAAGATTCAATTTATATTCAATTTACAATGTTTCATTATTCAATCTTGTTTTATTCTCTTGTTCTTTATTCCTATGAACTATTTCTAAAATGGAATTTTCTAATAGATTTTCTTTAGTTTTTTCATAGATTATTTCATGTTCATTCATAAATAATAAAGCTGGATTAATATCAGATTGTAATCCATATTGACCAAATAAACATCTTTGATAATCTTCTGTTTTTTCTTTATGATGAATTAATTGAAAAAATTCTTTTGTTGGTTTTATTCTTTTATTTAAATGAGATGGAAGATGTGATATATCAAAATATTTTAATTCTATGGGAAGATTTGAATGAAGCCATTCTTGATTCCATTGATCATAAGAATTTAATTTAGATTGTGTGATTGTTTGATAATCATTCAAATGAAATGGAATCCACCAATGACGATAATATTTTTTATTTCTAATTTGATGAAACACTATAGATTGTTGATGATGAATTAATTGTTTATTCACATGAGTAAATAAATGAATCATTTAAAATCTATAAAATCAAAGAGAACAAAAAACACAATGATGAGATTACCATACGTTTAGTGTTAAGTGACTTAACCAGAAAGATATAAGTAGCAGAGTTTCTAGTGATACTAACTTTACTTGCCTCTCCCCAAATGACTTTGTACAGCTCAGAGTGATGAGAGTCAACTCTACCTCTCGTAATGTTCTGACATAGCCACATGTATACAACTACCATCAGGGAAGTTTTACTCATTGCTTTCTCACATCATGGGTGTTCTTTACGAAATTGAGAGGATGAAAAAGTGAATGTCCGGCACTTTAAACACGTTGGTGGACACGAAGAGTTTAACTAGGGGAGTTGGAAAACTCTCATCTCAAACCAATGATATACATGGGATCCAGCATCTTGAAGAAACAAATGGCGTATGAACCAACTGTTAGTCGTGGAACTGCATGTCCTGACGTTGCTTCATTGTCTTGTGGATCAAACCTTTAGTTGAAAGGCTTCGAGTGTGGCCCCCTAAGAAAATCACTTGCTTTATTTTGAGCACCCGGGTCCTCATAAAAATCGAATGGCTTATGTGGTGCATATCTATTCGGTGCCCTTTTGTACCAATGTTTATGTGTTTAAATAAATGAATAAACTTTACTTAAGTCGGTCAGAATAAAATGTTTACATTGGTAAACACTTATATTCGGTAAATAACTCATAAATAGTAGGAAGCTCATTCTCAAAGCTTTACACTTAACTTTCTATAACGATGATTTCTTTGTGAGTTATCCACGCTGTCAAGACGTTTAAATACAAGACCATGTAGAGCTGAATTGATTTTAAAAATATTTACTACTATAAGGGTATCAAATTATGCCGTACGTTAAGATTTCGACAGAAAATATAGTACCCAATCCCATTATTAATTGAATACTATAAGAAGTGTGTGTTAAATTTCTCGATTTCCCTCATTGAAAATGTACATTTCCTAAATAATGATCCTGAAAACGAAATCAGACCAGTAACGAAGATCTTGCAAGCCTATTGAGATGACCGCATAAACTCAATGGATAACTTCTTGAGGTTGGTATTCTACGATTTTCTTATGAGTAGCTTGTTTTGGACTTGTTCAACCTTAACGCTGGCACCAACAATACTCTATTCTACTCCTATAAAAAGGCCGTATTACTGGAATAAGTTTTACAGCCAATATATTCCTATTGAATTATTACCATAAGTAAGCCCACCCACAATACCAAAATCAAAGGTGGGATCTAACGTGGAATTTTGCAAAAAGATCTTGTCGACAATTAACTAAATACAGTTTTCCACTTAACTTTTCACTGTCCATGATTTTAAGCAATATATGTCATACCTGATATTACCATTTACTGAGTTATCACTACAGCACGGTATCCAGACAATGAAACTAATTTATAGGTACTAGATAAGCTCTGTAATTTGAAAGACTTCTGGGAAAACAGAAAAACAGATCATATTTGATCAACATATGCTACATTAAATGACATATAATGTGTAATATCTTCAAAAATAGTAGTTAGTTGACAATAAAGACGGATAAAAAGTCCAGTAAATTAGATAAATCTGTTATGTAAGAGCAAGAGGTGGAAATTTAAGCGCGTTTCAAGATACTCAACTAGAAATTAATGCAAAATGTAGTTTCTTTATCAATTTAGGAACAAGTGTATTCCCTAATTTCTTGACTTCGGGGATAATTTCGTTAATTGTGGGAATAATGAGACTAAATACAACAGAATTTCCCTTGACCTGGGTTTTTTTAACTTATTTTTGTGGTTTCTCCTAATATTTTATGTAAAGAAAACTTACCATAATAACTCAGTACAGTGCATTTTCTTAATGGACACTCATCATCCACATCGATATGATCGGCGATTTCTTTAAACGTTATATTCTCCCTGTGGACAAACAGTTGGTTGTTCAAAAGTCAACTGCTAAGTATAAATATCTGCATTTCCTCCTTATCGTTATGACGTAAGCTTTTGATTGATGCCATGAGTTAATTTTATGGCACTATAAAATTTAGAAGTGTTGCATAAGGTGGGGATAATAACCCCATATTATTGCATAGGGATTGAGATATACTTACGAAGTATATCTGTCATCGTAATGCGATAGCGCGTGGAATGATGGGACTTAACTGCGAACAGAGACAAATAACGTTCGTGTACAGTGAACAATCCGGAGATTTCTCAACGAAGCATGTATCATATGATTCCCTAAAACATTGAAATTTGGGGAGTTTTCTAAAATATTTATATATACAGCAGTTCTACGGCGAAAATCCAGAACAAAGAGAAATTTCTGGTTTTATTTGTTTTATCGTCAGAATTACTAATGGGGCTTATCTGAAGTTCCCCGAAAACTATCGAGATTTGCCCCAAACCACTAAGATTGTGGGATGTTTATGGAGTATATTAAAGTCAGAAAGAGGTTGACTTGTAATTGAATGCTGCGTTGAGCAAACTCATCAACAGATTAATAACAATGTGATTAGGAATTTACCCGAATTTAAGGGATATTTAAAAGAAGTTGCGGTGACGCATAACACTGAATTAGGCGCAAATATAAGAAGTGTCTACAAACCCCATTCTTTTCTGAAGAGAAATATTATCAGCCTCTTAACCTTTCAGCTTTATATATAAAAAATAAGGAATTATTTTCAATCACGAAGAGCTATAATTATTGTTCTACATCCTTGTGAGCTTGGCAGTGAAAATATACGTTAATAAATGTCGTAGAGGTTGAGGAGTACGGAAAAAGAACTCACTACGTGAGTAACTTGGGTAAATATTCACAATACATTCAACCACTTCAGTAGAACGTGTCGTTATGGTTTTCACTGTGGAATTTTATAATCTCTGGATTCTAAGCACAAAAAGGTTTACATGAACCTTTTGTACCGGCTCTTCCGTGTCCTATCCTGATGGGGTGTAGTTTTAGTTGAAGTGTATTGGCGCATCACACAAGTTGTCCATATGATTTGTGAGGATTGTTTCATGATAGGTCATGATCTTGTTGTCACTAATCCATCTGTGCCTTAAAGATTGTAAGGTCAGTATTGTCAGATGAGCTGAGTAGAGCCAAAGTAAACTTTAGGCTTCTCGTCTTTGAATCACTCGAAGAAAAATGTTCTTAAAGTAGCAGTAGAACAAAGTATAAGGCATTTCTAGCTAAGGGCTTAAATAAATACTAATATATATTTTGAATAGTTTTTCAGTCAGCGAACCTAAAGTTCTAGCGAAACACCCATGATACCGTATACACTGTTAGTCACAGGATGAAAATGCGACGAGACAACTAGGAATTCGCAGAGTGATTTCCGGTTTCTATTCAACGGAGGGGAGTATTGTGGTGACCATCATTCCTGATCGTTACCCGTTGCCACGCATTCACGACTTGACAGCTACCTTAAAAGGTACAGCTGTTTTCTCGCAAATCCATTTGGTTAAGGCTCATGACCAAATTCCTTTGTCCGCTGACAAAATTCAATAAACCTCTATCATCACTCCCTTCAGAAGCAGTACTCATCAAGGACATTAATGCTGAAACAGCGATCTGCGTCTTTGTCGAACGATGGGCAAAACGTCTCAGCTGTTATTACAGATCGTCGACTCCAGTCCGAATCTAAGCTTTTCCGTTGTCTTGCTGCACTACTAGAAATCGCATGATTCCGGACGATCACCCATCATCCACAAGCTAGTGGTTTGATAGAACGACATCACTGACAGTTGAAGACTTCACACTCGGTTGCTAACGTATGACATTGGACTGACGCTCTTCCATTTATGTTTCTCGATATTCGCAATGCAGTGAGAACTGACATTAGACACACTCCGACTCCCAGGAGAATTTGCGGATCCTTCATCTTCTTCAGTGATTCAGTATATCTGAACTTCTATACAAACATGTTTACAAACACCATGCGTTCAATCAAACCTATTTCTACTTGACCGCAACCAACTGGCGTTTTTGGCTGACCTATCTTATGATCAAGTATGAGCATCTCCCTACGTCGTGACACAATACGCCAACCCTATCAAGACTACATGAGAAGGACACTTCAAGGTTCTTAATCATGTGTTTAAGTACTATACAATATGAATGGAAATAAATATGGCATCACTGCTGACCGTCTTAAAGCCGCTTACCGAGAAGGGAACGCTTACTATGTCGTTTTTCCTCTGAATAATCGAACAATTAAAGCCTCAAGACTACAATCCAATCCTCAGTAATCAACGATCTTGACGAAACTTTGCTAGAATCTGAAACCCAGTATTAAACGAGGCGTTTAGGAAGAACAGCAAGGTTTTCGAGAAAGTGATGCAGTCACTACATGCAGGACATCGTGCACGTTCTTGCTAAATGCATCCGAAAGAAGTTTTTCTAAATTTACGTACTTTTGCATGTTATATATGTGCTTATATACAAAGATTTTGCGTGCTTTTCGCTTCTATGCTCAATTACGTGTGTATTTCGATATGCACTTACATTATCTGTATCTTTACTTTCGCTGGACAGCTGGGAAATTTGAAAAACCAACGAAGAATGCAGAACGGATCTAATTATAGCATCACCATGAGCCGTCTTAAAGCCACTTATTCAGGCGACCCTAATCATGTCAATTTTCTTCGGTACAATCGAGCGACACGAGCCCCACGATTGCAACACCCCACCCAATAATCATCGGTTATAAAGAAACTTTAGTAGTATCTGACAACCGACCTGAAAGAACGCGTTCTGGAAAGAGGATAAAGTTTCCAGAATACTTGAACAACCACTGCACGTAAGAAACATCATAATATTTTGTTTTATCTCGATTGCCTTTTTTTATGTTGTTTTGCCAAAAAACAAAAAAATATTTGCTACGCTCACACACATCTACGGGCAAATTTGAGGAATTCAGATCAAAACTCAGGAAAACTTCTTCCCCATTAAGTGTGCACTAATATCGAACCGTCTTCCCTCTGAAATCGCATGGAAGATG